CCATCAGCTAAATTATTATCATCCTGGTTACTATAGGACTCCCCTCGACATTGCCGCTCCCTATATTTAAGAAATGTCCTTCTTAGTCAAGAAGGTTCCAAGTAACAATTCTGTTCTCAAGGTTTACACTTACCGATACCAAGTGCAAGTATCTTTGTTCCTATCATTATTACGAATAGAGCTGATGCGGTCAACGAAACTCTCCGGGACATTATCTATGCATAGCTCCTCTGTAAGTAAAATGCTTATAGCGACCGATTAAGCATCGAGATAAGGGCTTAGTGTGGGAGCGGAACTCACAGCAGGATCCTGTCTGAAGGACGTCGGTTCGGCAGCGGCCTCTGAAGCGGGTGTCGTCACACATAAAGACGGTAGCCTCAGCACGAGCAGAGATAGCTGGGGTTGAAGTTTTGTCTATAGGGGTAGCGATGATCAGGACGGCAAGTGCCCCTAGACACGCCAGAGATGATTTCATAAAGCCCATTGTGATTGAAACAATTGTGTAGTTCGATCTGGCACTTGTGTAAGGCATGCAGACACATCAGGAGCACCATCAGTGAGGAATGGGGTTTAAATACTGAACGACGTCGACAAATCTATCAGCCCTGCTTTCCTCCCTTGAACCATGGAAACCGCCTGTGTCCAAAGGCGATCGGGTATCATCCGGGCTTCCTTGTTTCGTTGACCTTTATCATGAAAGTAAACTATAGCCTGAAGTATGCCCAGGGCTGCGAAACGCCGCGGTATCCTTGCTGAGTCGTGCGAAGAATGATGGACAAATGATCGCTTGAAGGAGCTATATTTCCTACAAACACATCACTTATTCTTTACGGTACGCTCGTAGAGACTCTTGAAAGCCCATGCTGCTTTCCCAACGACACGACATATTTTACACACGTGCAGCACCACCTTCGCAGTCCACGGCCAGGCTCGGCACATATATCTAAAGTGATGAGATATACCGAGTGCTTTTGCATGTTTGTAAGGTACGGTACTTGATGGCTTCTGGAATTGAGTTCTGGGGGTTGTTGGGTTTCTGAACTTCCGTCTGACGCGCCTGCTCTAGATCCACGTTCTCAAACACACGCAGATTAAGCTTGTGATATTAACATCTTTCGTCGCCGCTCGGCCTGGATTCCAAACGGAACTGGTTTGATGTCGCGCCTCGTTAAAGCAAATTGGTGGTCATCTGAGCTGAAGCTTCGTCTGTTAAACCCAAAATCTGATGCCCCGTCATTTTGCCTCGCGAGCACGTGCTCAGCAACGCGTTCAGCACTCGTCTTTTGACTTCAGTCTGCCACTAGACCGAGTCTTTCGTTTGCAGTACACTTCTTTTAGGTGAAAAGACTTCCTAAGTGACTGTCATCAAGCGTGCTTAGTCACTCGCGTTTGGCTCTCGACATTCACTTTAGATACCTTATGAAGTCTTTCTATCGGACGAAGCCGAGCTCCAAACGCATGGTTTCTTCCTAGCCAAACTGATACCGCACATCTCACATTTGATTCCTCGGTAGCTTTGGTAATCTAGGTACAACAATTAACAGGGTCCAGGGACAGACTCCATAGAGACTCGCCACTTCGTCATCCGAATGTCCTACCTCCATGTTCTTCCTGGTCTCGTATTGATGGGTCGTGCCGCACATCACATAGCTCAGGACAATTCTTGTTATTATCAGGCATCATATGCCAACACTCCTGTTCTGGTGGATGTTGTTGCCCCGATATGCTGTCACGCAATAACTCAAAAGTTCGCATTAATACCCAAAGTCTGTCGCGATGGCTTCAACCGTCCGTGGACTCATAGCATATTGCGTGATCCGGCCACATAATCACCGCGATGTACACCGGCTTGCAAATTTTTTTTAATACAATCGTTCTCTACAATCCATATCAATGCTCCTATTGCGATCGTACGGCAAATTCTAAGACGCTTTTCTGGCTAAATCTTTGAATAGAAGTTGATCGTGCTTCCTCTCCACGTAGTCAAGGGCTGGAATGAACTTTAATATTGAGGGAAGGTGAAGTCTTTCGTCGCATACGTTGGATAGGCCAACGCTCATGCTAGCTACTAGAAGGATGACAAGGCCTATGACTTAATATACATGTCTCAAGCACGTTCAAACTCCAGCCAAAGGCAATGTTCCCTCCTGCAAACGCATGATGATGATACCACATGAGAATGGTCAACTTGAAGTCCAATTCTGCTTCCAGCTCCTCATTCTTGAATCTCAGATTCACTGTTATGCACAACCGGTCTCGGAATTGACTCAAGTAGTACTAGGATACTATCTGCCTTCCCAAACTCGGTGCAATAAAGAAAGGATGATAAAGCCTTAACAGTTCGTTCTAGTAGCTACGCCACTACGCCGCTTGCCTGCAAACAGTATGTGCGGTGCCGACTTCCAGCCATTGCTGATCATCAAGTCTCAGTAATATTTGCGCTCTCGGAACTAGGAAGCTTAATCTCTATACACTTTTCAGGTCTTTCCCAAATTGAGCCATCTCTACGCTAATGGAACCACTACCCTATATTACCTTGTTGTACAAAGGAAGATGCAACTTGCATGTGCAAAAAGTGAAAGCGGTGACCGCCAGACTCCAGCAACTAATCCATATACTCTTCCTCCACGAACTTCACACATCTTGGTTCATGGGTACAGGCGAAAGTCGAGGCTGCTTCAAACTTGGGCTTGACATCGGAAGCCTCCTTCCCTTTCCTTTCCCACCCTTTCCAGCCCCTCCAGCCTTTTCTCCCTTCCCGGGTTTGCCAGCCTTCCCAGCCTTTCCAGCCTTTCCAGCTTTTCCTGCGTGCCTTGTCTCCGATAATAGTGAATGTAAGCTGACTTATGATCAACTTTCGAGACCAAATGAAGACAAAATAAAATTAGTGAATACTTACAGCAGCGCGGCACCGTTTCCTCGCATGATTGTCAGCGTTCGACTCGACAACCAAATGCCCAGGGTTGATACAGTTAGTTTGTCCACATAGGTGGCTTACGTCCAACCCCTCCAATAGACGGTCTTTGGTAGCCCTTCGATGGAAAGCAACAATGGCCAGTCGATGGCCATATTGCCTCTTTGCTTCCTTCTTCCTCACCCCTGGAAAGACCGGTCTCGTTTCAACGTACCCCTTTTTGGCGTCGTACTTATGTTAGTATTCACACACTTATAGATGGTAAGTCGAACGAAGGGCATATACAGCTTTGGTAGGTCTCTTCTGGCAGAGTATGCATCCATTTAGCGTCCTCTTTGCGGGTCTGTAAGAACTTCCGCTCGAGGAGGAATTCCCAAGAACCAATTGAAGCCACGCCCTGAAAGCCCTCTTCCTAGAGCAACACCAAAGCTCGAACATAGTGTTGGAACATCTTTTGATGGTCTTATGCGGGTTTGAAGCTTTGGAAGTTGAGGGGACATTGGAATCTGGAGTAAGCGAAAGAGACCGTGGTGGGAGTTTCGGAGGCGACGCACGCCTTCCGCGTCCCATGGTAAAGATGTCGGAATAAGAAGGTAAGAGATGGATGAACTATGGTTTGAAGAATAAGAACAAGGTACGGATGGCGATTAACGATGCTTTTAAAGAAATAGAAATCAGGATGGAGGTGAAGTCTCACTGTAGGACGGTCATTGACGATATTGCGCCATGAACGCGTCCAAAAGGGACGCGCGCTCAACGTGCTTCAATTACCGTAATTGGATCCAGAGTGTGCCACATCAGATACCGGCATTACTATGCTTGTAATCAGCTAGTTGGGGAAAGATATATTGAACGTAGGATAGTCGGGTATCCATTGTATCCTTGCAAGATAATCACTTTTGTGGGGTGAGGTATGATGGATTGCCGGGCGCGGGAGAAAGGGTGTGAGCAGCCCTGCAACATCAAGACCCTGTTTAGGAACCCCTTTCTGCATGTCAAAAGGAGTGGCCTAGAAACTCTAGACTTGAGCTTTGCGTCAAGGTTGGTATCCGAAGCAGAGAGACTATGGACTCGATCTATCGGGGTCTAGCACTGCGAAGCTGGAGAAAATGGCAGTGGTAGGCTAGGTCACTGGACGGTCTTCATGATAGAAAAGCTGACGGTTTGGACGGAGCTGTGATCGGGCGCTGTCTACGTACTCCGTGCCTCGGCAGCTAGGCTCGGTCCCTTCCGGCCCCATGAAAACGTCGTCAAGTTGGGTCAAGATAGGCATCCAGCCAACCAGTCTCAAATTGGATAATGAGGTGCTAATTGGTGGATGCGTGGACTTGGACTGAGCCTCTGGGGTGTGCAAATACATAGCAAGGTATGTGAGACAGGTGGGTCTGGGGTCCTGACTCGTCACGTGCAAAGGGACTTGTTTGGAGGAAATGGAAATTGCCGCCTTTCATGGTTTTCTCCCCCAGGGCAATGGGCGGGTGGTTGGCAGGTCTGGACGGGCGGCGTCGAAAACACCATACTCCTTCACTGCGGTATTTGCCAGCACTCTTATCATAGGAGTGATTTCCGGCATTTCTCAGTGCATATGGGGCGGGCTGATCTGGGGTACGATTTGGATTCTCTTTGATTACCTCATGGAGGTAGCCGGGAGATTGTTCCTTGACGGGAATCGCCGGAACAGAGGGCCCCGACCCACCTACCTACCGGTCTAACCTGAGGCTACCGCTAAGTTCTTCTCCAGCTGCCCGGTCCCGATTCCCAAGGTGGCAAGGTCTAACAGTCCAAGGATAGGGCTACTAAAACAATTTTTCACGATGCCCTCATTTAGGCAAAAGCGGGTCTGCCATGCTCGTGTCAGACACGCTAAGATAGGGGACTCGGAACCCTGCAGTCGTTATCCTTTTTCATCAAGCAAAGACCTCCCCCAGGTTGCCTCATCTCAAACCATGAGGGATACAAACTCATTCGCGATTTGATGCTTCTCCACGAACCCACGCCCTACCTGTGCTTCTCTCCGTCCATGAAGTATTGTCGAGTAGCACAATTCTCGCTTGCAGCCTCCGCGTAGTGAGGCGAGTCGCGACCCATGAGCCCCGCTGCGCATCCGCTGCCGCCCTCAAGCAGTCTTCCGCCTTTGCGCACTTTGAACCAGCTCACCGAAGCCGATGTCGCCGCCGCCCTACAGAACCTCTCCGTCATCTACTGCCCCTTGGCCGTGTCCGTCGCCTTTCAGCTTAGCCCCGAGACGCAAAAGTTTGCTCATCACGATTCATCTCTCGCCGACTCTGGCTACGTGTCGGAGACAGACGACGATCATGAGGAGATTGACGGCCTAGACCACCACATAGCCGCTCTCAAAGTCGACGTCTTTGAGCGCAATTGCGCCGAGCGCTGGTTGACTGGCTTAATCGCCAGAGCCGAGACTCTTTCTTGCTTTAAATCCCAGGACGCTTGTCAAAACGCACTGGACCAGGCCTCTTGCATCCTCGAATCATTCTTCGCCGCCCCACCAGACGATGATGCCTCGGCCGAGAAGGATCAGGATTACACGCGCGATTTCGCATTCCAACTCTCGCTCCCCAAACCACCATCAGCAAGTGTTCCAGTCACCATCCGACTCAACGACAGGTTAGCGGGTACAAACTCGGCTGACCCGGACGATGTCGGTCTCCAGAGCTGGGGCGCCTCCATCGTCCTGTCGGACATCATGTGTGCCTCGCCGGAGCGCTTTGGTCTTTCCCAACCTGGACTGGGTATTTCGCCGCGCATCATTGAACTCGGCGCCGGCACGGGGCTTGTGAGTCTCATGCTCGGCAAAACGCTGCCTCACTTGGGAGCATCTAGTCCGACCATCGTGGCAACTGATTACCACCCGGCTGTGCTTGAGAACTTACGCGCCAATGTTGCCCTCAACTTCGCGACAGCCAATCCCGCCCACGTACAGACCGCCGCTCTCGACTGGGCAGCACCTGTCCTGGATGCACCGCTCCATGTTCCCGCCGACATCATCATCGCGACCGACGTCATCTACGCGCCGGAGCACGCTTTCTGGCTGCGTGACTGTGCGACTTGTCTACTCGCAGATTCTGGCGTCTTCTGGCTCCTGGTCACAGTGCGGCGCAATGGCCGTTTCAACGGCGTCAGCGACAGCGTAGAGTCTGCCTTCACGGCTGGCGACAGCCCCAAGCGGTCAGACGGCAAGAGGCTTGCCATCCTGCAATCAGAAGAACTGCTTAAACGGAGCGGAGTGGGACGAGGGGATGAGAGTGGCTACAAGCTTCTCCGAATTGGATGGGCCTACGAATAGACGATGAAATAGATGGGCCTGGCGCGATCAGACGAGACACACGACATTCTCCTCCAATAGATCATAGAGACTACATAGATAGATGATAAACAAAGGAGGCGAGCATCATAGACAGTCTGCACGGCGAGTGCATACATATCAGCATACAAATTGCAGATGTCCGCCCTCGCGTAGAGTATAGATAGATTATTATGTATATATGCATACATCAACGTTCACAAGTCATTTGCAGCTCACCTACGAAAGCTGGGCCGGCCTGAGGCTTCAAAGTGAATATTCTTGACGAGGTAACTCGGAATTGCCTGGTTCTGCAGATCATCTCTATTTCAATTACATGCAACGATGCCTCTAGTCGAGATTGTTCTTCCCCGGGACTGATGCCGTGTTGCGGGGTTCGGCCCTTGACCACACCGTCACGCCGGTATCGCAGCGAGTAACGACCCCAGGCCCATGCCGAACCAGACCAATTCTGACCCATGCACCGGTAGAAACCTGCTAACTACCTGTACCCCATGGAGAACTTCATTCTAAGAACGGCCATCACTGCGGACTGGGAGGGGAAATTCGCAGAGCGGCCGCAGAGATCGGGGGCAGCAAGAGGGGTCCACATCGGAGCCGGGCCCCCGGACCCAGAAAAATTATTGACGCAGTGCTACCTTACCTTACCTTACCTTGCCAGACGCGAACGCGTCCCACACGCGATCAACTCATTGACAGCGCAACTTTCCCGCAGCATCCTGCTTGCTCTCCGATCACGACTCCGTTCTTTGCTTGTGTCTGCCCTCAATACTAGCATTCAAATTCTTCTCCGCCTGTAGCCATGCCTCGAGGTAGACCCTCGTCGAAGCTTGCGAAGCAAGGTAAGAAGAATTTCCAACTACCAAAGTCTCTCTGCCTAGCTCTCTCATATTCCCCATGCGCTCCCATTCCCATTCTATTGCGCCCTCATTGACGCCCAAAACCTCGAGCAGACATTCCCTATGACGCGATCAGTAAAATCGTAGCGCATACCCTTGATCCCGAGACCGCGCTCGTGACCCTTACCGTTCTCGCCAAAGGCTCCCGCCTAGATGTTTCCGAATGGGATGTCCAGGAGCATCAACCGACATTGCTATGCGACTACTGGGCCAGCTTTCCGGGCAAGACGCGCCAAGATGTTCTAGGAATCGGAGAGCTTTACCATCCCTTTCGTCTGCTACGCCACCGACGTGTTCGGGGCCAATGGCAAGTACTAGTGCAATGGCTTGGGTATACGAGCGAGGGAGAGGATGTTTCTTGGGAGCCAGTCGTGAAAATGCGCGCTGATGCGCCGGACGTGTTGACAGACTACTGCGGGTACGTAAACGATGAGAGTGTAAATGCTGCGCTACTCGGGCCCACGGCGCGAGGGGATGCAAGTGGCGAGGAAGAGGGTCAACCAAATGAGCCCAAGCCTCAAGTCACAACTCCTGCCGCCGCAAGACACTCAGCGAAGAGGAAGAGGGATAGTCTGGTCGAGCCTTCTGAAATTACCAGCGACAAACGACGACGCTGTAAGCCCTTCCTGTTCCCAACCGACGATGGTTGATCAATCCTTGGCTGACTCAAAGCCTAGCATCGAGACATGAATCAACACCAGCCACAAAAGCTTCCCTGCCCAGATCCTCGACGTCAGCATCCAAGCGAAGACAATCGAAAATCCCCCAAGACGACCCCCAGTCGCTATCGACCCCCAGAGCAACTGTTTCGATCCGAAAGCAATCCAAGATACCGAACGATGATAGCAAGAAAGTCGGTGCATCTCCTGCACCATCACAATCTCTGCCCCGACGGAAGAATACGCGAGGAGCCTCCATTGAACCCACAGCATCTGTCGACGCTGAGCGCCTGAGCCCTGCAGACGTCCCCCGCACAATGCTGTGGTTCATGGATGACTTCACTGTGGGCGATATGCAGAAGGTCTGCCGCTTCATCGACGAGCACTGCACAGGCAAATTACGTCTACCTCTGTACAGTGGTGGAGACTGGGATGGGAAGGCTGCTAGCGGCAGATGGGAGGATGTTTTCATGGTGAGCCCGCTTGGACGGTTGGGTAGGTATGACGATGAGGATGAGAAGGAAGAGTGATTGGGATCGCTCTCTAGCAATGCCTGCAGAGGCAAGCAGTTTCCCGGCGTTTTGCAAGGACTGGACTGGCAATCAATCCATGTGTTCAAGGAGCGCGTTGAGCACTGGTTTGTTGTGCAAGTCGCAGCCGCCTCGATCACTTTCAAGGAACAAAGTCGGCAGCGTAGAAAAGGACAATCTAGCTGTTCGTTGACTGATAACGAAGTTTCTGCAAACTTCCACTTCTACTCTCGTCGTCCGCTTCTCGTTGTGCTATCACGCGGCGTGCCACTGGTGTTCACGATGACAAAGTACTAGAGCATCCTGTGCTCGGCAATCAGAAGATGAGATGTTCACCAAACGCGATGAACCAGGTTTCTGCTTGCGTATGAACAGAATGGCAGTGCGCTGAAGATCTACCAAACCTTCCAAATCTTCTCACAGAGCATTGAGCTTTCAGCATTTTGCTTGCGCACCTCCGCAGTGGCTGATGGCACAATCAGGATTCCTTTACCAAGAACAGCCATGCGTAGGATGTTATCAACCACGTCATTGCGCCACCGTGCCAACTCGGACAAAGCAACAGTCTCTGGGGGTGTGCATCAGCGTATTTAGCTCACTGGGCGGTTGGAAGAATTTTCTTCACCGGCGCTAGCGCTTGTTTGCCGACCGACCTTAAGCGCCCTATGGGCTGATTAAAGATATCAAGGTTTGCTTGTGTTGGTTTGGAGGATGCAAAACCCGGCTAACCTGTGGATTTCTGGGCCAATATTGGCTCTCAAAGCATAATTCTCCAGTGACTGTTCATGAAGTCGTGTCCTCCTTTTTTCCCGATGTATTTCTGGCGCCTCTTTGAAGTATCTCCATTCTACTGAATAGCCTGACTTGGCAAACACCTGAACCGACATTTACATTCGAGTGGATTTTAAATGAAACAGCATGTTTTCTCGCTTTCTTTATGGTGATGCATTCACTCCAAACAGGCATTTACCGCCAACGAATATGGCCTGATTGAGGTAGCGACAGCAAGACTAAATGATTGGATCTGATTTGGATTAGGTATAAATATGTTCTCGCGGTTTCCTCCTCCCTAAGTTTCGAGCAAGACCTTGCCGAAAATGAAACATTCTTGATTCATTCAGCTCCACAAGATCCCACTCACTTCAATCTATAGAATGACCGAAGTCGCCGCCTCGAAGAAATTTGCATTACTTGCCACGGGCGGTACCATCGGAACTAAGGCCAAAAACCCTGACGATGTAGATTACGGCTCTGTTGGACACGGTGAATATGTTACAATCGATCAACTCCGGAAGAATACCGGGATCGATGAAGTTGCACGAGAGCTCGACGTCGGCATCCAGCCTGAGAAATTTGAATCCATCGATAGTACTGCGGTCACTTCCAAAGTTTGGAACGATATTGGTCAAAGGTGCGAAGGGTTGTCTAGAGACAAAGATATCAAGGCCATCATCATCACCCATGGAACAGCAAGCCTTGAGGAGACTGCATTCACTCTATCTATGGTCTTGAGACTGAGGACTCCAGTCATCGTCACTGGTTCCATGAGCCCCTTGAATGGAACATCTTCAGATGCATCGGCCAATCTCATCGCCGCGTTCCGCGTGGCTGCTTACATGTCCAAACATGATTATGAGGGGGTTTTGGTGGTGTTGAACAACGAAATACATCTGCCCCGTTTTGTCACTAAAACTCACACCCAGAATCACGACGCCTTTAAGTCGCCAAATTTCAAATCCATCGGTCGCATTATCAAGGGCGAAGTCAAATTCGACGAGATGGAACCGCCAAAGCTTCCCACAAATCTTGGGTTCACTGTCCAAATGCTTGCCAACGCTCCGCGCGTCGACATAGTGTGCAGCTACGTGGGTGCTGATAGCGTGGGCATCGACGCGTATGTCAAGGCTAGAGCAAGGGGGATCATATCCATGGGTTTTGCGCCTGGACTAGGAACACCGGCAGAGAAAGTTGGGCTTGGTGTTGCCATTAAAGGTGGCTGTGTGGTGGTTCAGTCGGTACGAGTTTTATCTGGAAATGTTACCGACAGTGAAGACCACAAGAAGATGGGCATCATTTCTGGGAACAACCTCAGCCCCTGGATAGCGAGAATCGTTGTCCAACTTGCGATTAGTAAGAGCGATGAGACTAAAGTGGATGTCAAAGACATACTCTGTGAGGCGTTCAGAAATCTTTAGTTTGCTTTAAGGAGATTCATGCCGAGCTACGAAATGGCACTCTTGGTCTCATGCTACACCTGCATTAAGGGGGTTTCTTTCGGAACGAAGTCTTAATAGAGCGATCTGTTCGAGCCATAGTTAACGGGACAACCCGCAGTTACTTATTCTTATTGACTATATAAACATAATAAGGGCCATCAGTTGACACGAATGTGCATTAATCCCATGCGATTCTCCCCTGCCAGGCAGTGGATGACAAGACTTGACTATTAAAATCACGGTGCCTGACAGCTAAGGTGGCTAATGAAAGACAGATGGATATGTGCTGCAAAATATAAATTCTGAACCTAATTCAATTGAAGATATCTCTTGAATAATGGCAATGCCATAAGGACAGGCGCAGCCACTATAATTTTGAACAACACGGCGAGGCCTTGGCTGTGCATAGCGCATCATCACCATAAAGACAGAACCAGTCCTGTCATGGTCTTAGACAAGCTTCCGTATCACATAACTACGGAAGTGTAAACTTATTTTTCATCTTTCATATCTATCTCTCATTGAGGGTTTGATGGCGTGAAGATTTGCGTGGCAATCCCTCGCCAGTCTTTATCCTCATTTATCCATTATAGGAAGAGGGGAGGTAGGGCTCTTCGGGCTGTTACAGAGACCTACTTCCATCTTGGAGGAGTTGATGTGCATCAGATACCTAGAGAAAATACAGCAAAGTGCTATAATTCTCCCTTGCCGGAAGGTTGTCTTACTGACAAGTGTACCACCACTTTCAATTCAATATGGCTTCTATGAACCGTCAAGCTAATGAGTAAGGTAGATATACAAAACATGTGATTCCTTATAACATGCTTCATCTAGCAGGCTCTATCTCCTTCCAAATTGCCTTATCTCTACTCGAGATACATTGTTCATTCATCGTGGAGAAGGTAAATCCCAGGCCCTTACCCGAAACGCATTCCAATACATTTCATGCCACCCTGACATAGGTATGGTAAGGCATACACTCACATATCCTAGCTTATCTTTGATATCTGTAATATGAAATGAATTGGCGTTCATCGTACTTGTAAGTACATAACGTTGGGAACTTTGCAATGCTTTTGGCAACGATAACATTAGTGATGCCCAAGTCCTTGCCTATTTATGTGAGCTGACGTGACATTTTCCTCAACCTCATACCTTGACGTTATTCTTCTCTGATATCAAATCATATGCAAACATGCCGTCGTCGTGATTTAAGAATTTCATGTCCGAAGACCGTTCGTGCTCTTTGACTTCTGGCTCCACGTCTTTATGCCCACATACGAAGTTTTCCTCGGCATCTGTCGGCGGTTGCGGTGTCAATTGCTCATGATCCGTAGCCTCCCCCTCTGGATCGAGATACTCTGGCTTTCCCGTCCTCATTTCTCTTCGTATAAGCTCAATCTCGATGACTATGCGTCCTTCGGGCTTTATCTTTTGGCGTAGGCTGTCACCATCACAGTCAAAATATAATCCCCAAATACCACTATCTTCCAAGACTGCACAGAAGCCTTCCCATCCACAAAAGGTAAGCCTACGATCTTGTCGAGTACACTCCCACGGCCCAGTCACATTACCATCCGCAATGGCACGGTTGCCAAAGCGGACTTGATATGTAACGGGATCGACGAATATCCAATTCATGATAGGTGCCTCATGGGTAATAGTGCTCACTAGCCCCGAGAAGCGTGAGTCCGGGTAAGGAAGATAATAGCCCTCGAACGGGTGACCGAAAGGAACATCATGAGCTGTGCCGGTGTCCACAAATAGCTGTTCAATTATTTAGGATTCTGATACGCAAGGAGATGGAGAAAGCTTACTCTATCGCCAGAAAGGACGACTTGACGTCCTTCGAGGTAAGGGCTGAACTGTGATGACTTGGGACAGTGCAATACAAGGTTGTTCTTTCGACTTCGATGCTCTTCTCGACGCGATCTGGCCATGGAAGCCTTAATGCCTTCAGAGGCGCCCACAGCAGTGGCGAAGCTGATGAGTAGTGAGAGAGCCATCTCCCTTTGCATCTGCTAAGGCTGTGTGGAAGATAATAGTGTTATCCAGAGCTCTGTGGACAGTTGAGAGATGGTTTGTAGCGGGAACTCTGATTCCACGTAACGATGACTTGAAGGATTTCGTCAGTGAGATGCGACTCTGCCCACCAGTAGTCCTAGCGATTTGTCTCTTTCACAAGGGTGAGTGGATGACCAGGCAATCGTTTTGCCGCTCATTTCAGGCCGTTGAGGACAGCGTGGTAGCGATAGTCTCGGGAAATCATTCGATTCAACCCCATAAGTCAGAATAATGCTTGGAGTGTTTCAGACTTCGAAACCTCGAAAGATCAGAAGAGACGTTAGAAAAAGGATTGGAGATCATCGGCTGATGCGTGTGGAGCTTCCTGGCAGCTTCTGACAGAAGACGGCATTCTATGCCTTTTGAAGAGATGTCAGATACAATGCCCATGCTGCAGATCTTCGATAGTGCCTGGTGGTCCCTGATTGATGTTGTTGAAACTCTCCGGCACAAGGACCCTGGCCAGGGTCCAGTAGCTGCAGGATCCTTGTCAAAGCTCCCATGAAGACATCCTGAGACACAGGCGAACCCCAATGCAACCCACAAACGTTCTATCGACTCACCCACATCGTACCATGCGAACCATTTTTCAGATGTTCTGGAAACAAGAGTGCCATTCCGCATGAGCGAACCGCGCCGACCGACGCGTTCTGGCCAAGACCGACAAAACACGACGCAAGATACGATCCGAGCGGCTGGTTTCAACATCAGACGATGTCATTTTGCTACCAAGTTGATCGCTGGTTCTGTAGGAAATATGATTCCAGAGGCATAGATGGGGAAGGAGGATAGCATCAAGTAATTATACCGGGCTCTGTCAGCCGAGTTCGGGATCGAAGCTTAAAGCTCACCATGCTCCCCCTCCATCATGGCCAACCAAGTCACATCTCAATCCAAATTACAGAGCACCACGTCAATCACTGAAAAGAAGCCAGCGGGAACAGGTTCCCCCATCGCCACAATATCAGCAAAATTTGACGCCAAACAGCAGCAACCACCACCCGTTCCACGAAGGCCAAATCACGCGTCGCGATCCTCAAGCACCTCGTCAAAGCGGATATCTGCTGTCGCTGTCCCTATAGAACCCTCGGTCAAGCCATTCGAGGATTACTCTGCTGTGCCAGGAGCCCTCAGAAGATCCCTTTCTTTCAAGATCCCCATTCGAGTCGCAACCGACAACCTTTCACCAGCCAACCGCTCTCGTGCTCAGTCACTACCACAGGAACACCAATCTGACGATCCCAGTCATCAACACCATCACCCAAAACGAGGCTCTCTTTCATCGATAGGGGAGAAAACGACCGCAGAGGCCCCAAAAGAACCGCAAGCCACCAGCCCGACACTTTCGATCAAATCACTTTCAGAGCAATTTCTGAAAGAACGTGGCCTACTCAACTCCGAACCAGTAGACGAAACAAGCTCACCTGAGGAGCTCCAGCATTCATTGCAAGATCAAGTTGTCAGATATCTAACCACAATGTCTTCCCCGTAAGCTTCAACATTAGCTCCGTTTTGTTGGGTTCGACGTCTAATCTTCACTGTCATCTAGAGCAAAGACCCCAGCGGAAGAGCAGTCTCGTGCGCCTGCCTATCCCACATCCTACCCACCAGCCAACACAGGGATGAGGGGAAACATGCCCGCACCAGGCCTCCCTGTCCCCATGCCCAACCTGTCTGGCACCGCAAATGGCCCTGTTGGTATGCCAATGATTTCCAATACGCGGCTCAAGTTTCCTCTTTTGCTAATACGACTTCAGGTAACCTGCTCAGAGGTCCTGTTGATGAGAACGGGAAGTTGACCAAAGCTGCTCTGATGGTTGGCATCAAGTTGGACCTGGAAGCCGAGGTTCACTTGACTGCTCGCGTCCGTGGTGACATCCTTGTTGGTTTATACTAAAGCCCCGTGGTCTACGACGAGAAGTGCACGCACGGAAATCACAAAGAGTGGCCAGTCACTAGGAACCTGTCCATCAAATGGTGCAGAGCGACACGACATTGCGCCTTGCAACAAGTCACCCTTTGCTTCACAGGCATAAGTTGCCCCGATTAGGTATGGCTCGGATTTGGAACCTGTAAGGCAGGAGATGGGAGTCTTTGTATTTTGTTTGAACAGTAAAGATTATTCAGATTAAGTCGACCCGAGCGTTGAGAATTGGGACAAATGTGTCCATATCGAACATAAACGAATGTATAGCCTCAAATGCTGTCTTTCACAACCTTGCTTGGGTACATGGAATGAACCACTCGGGTGCCTTTGGCAGCTTCGCAAGCTGTGCTGAAGGCCAAGCAAAATCGCCCAATATTGCCCAACATTGATCTTGTCCTTTACTCGTCTCGCTAGGATCTAGCGATTTAACTCAATCGTCTGTCATCCGCTTCCCAAAAAATGACTAGAATGAAAGTTGAATCGTCTAGCTCCTAGTAATGAAGCACAAAGTTTCAGGACCGCATGTGGTTCTTAGGTACTTGGTGACCTGCATGTTATTTCGGAGTATCCACCATGATCTGGCGCTGTTTTGCCCATTCAACGATGCGATCATACTTGGGACACCTATGCTGGGAGTTGAAGTCTGGCTGAATACCCCGAGAGCCATTTATGTGTAAGAACGGGGTTACATCAGCCGAGCACTGCAGTCGTACACGTAATGCCTCGATACAATGATCAACATGCTGTAGAAGAAGTCAACTTCGGAAGCAAACCAGCAAATCAGTCCAGTCAAGTCACTCAATGCAAAGTTTTGGACTTGGGGAGCGCTTACGGCAAGCACAAGATCCTCTCCACCGTGGAAGGCCGGATCGTCGCTATAATCGAATTCGGATCTGTGCACAAACTGACGTACGAGATTCAAGCAATGAAGGTTGTGGAAAACCTCGAGGCCAGCCAAAAGATAGCCTGGCTTTGTGCGTGCCCAGGAGTCACCGCTGGTACCATGTGATGTCTTGTTCAATGCTGGTAAATATTCATCCGATAAGTCGAATGATCCATCTAATACCAATCTGGATCAGTAGGCCATTTTGAAATAAACTAGAGGCCGTTCGTGCAACTTACAATACCACAGATCCTTCCATTTTGCTTCCAACTCTGGAGTCGGCCTTCCTTTATAAGGGCTGGTCTTCCAAAATGCATTGTCAAACTGCACATCTTCGTATTCCAAAATATCTTGAACGGGTGCTGTGTATCTCATGAGTCTGGGACTCTACCAATCGTTTTAAAGAGGTGCGATGCTGGACTCACACAAAACATGAAGCTTTCTGACGCACTGCAAATCCGATGGCTCTGCTGGGTTGAGGTGGAACCAAGTCGAGAGCCCAAGAAGTACACAGCTTATCCAAAAGAAAGGAAAAGAAAAGGTTTCGAATGAAGTTTTGCTTTTTTTAGCGGGTAGTTGCATGTTATCGTCATCCAAGAAGAATGCTTCTTCTTCTGCTTGGAGGTCTCGTTCGTGGCGAGACTGTCCTGTCTTACTGAACATCATTGACGCCGATTCTTCATGAAAAGTGACAATCAAAATGGAAGGAAATTGCAAGTATCAACTATCAGGGTGCTCTCTTAAGCTCTGTGGTTGTTCAAAATCCGAGAGCTGACCGTTAGTTAGTTTTCACTGATGTGAAGCGACAGACGAGGGGCTCCTTGCAAACATGACTCGCCATCGGACAGTGTGGATTTCTCTATCTCTGAGACAAGGGGAGTTTATGATAAGGAAAACATCATTGAGGCCCGACAGCTGCACAGGACACAATGAGTCAGTTTTCGGCACCGACTAATCGACCTTCTGCATTCGTCTAGTCGGACGGATCTAGAAAGCTTGTTTTCTTCCATCAACACGAATTTGTCTGTTCGAATATGCAACTGACTACCAGGTTTCCTTGAAAATGCGCAGCAGCTAACGCGGGTCTCAAAAGCTTGTTTCTCTAGAAGGAAACATCTAGATGAACCAGTCTCGACCACCAAGCCAACCGATAAGCTCAGCATAGATCCCGAATCCTACATTATGAGCAAGCAATGTCTTTTGCTCGTGTTTATTCAAGCTGCTAGTTCAACTCACTTTACTGAGTTACTTGAGACTTCTCCGTGCAGCTCAGTCCATCACCGAGCTTCGCAGGTTGGCAGGCACCAAAGTCAATGTGTTTACTCTATTTCCTTCCATTACTCAGATTAAATTCATTTGCGAACTCACCACCGTTCTGATGCCTGTAGGCTCCGCAGCAGAAGTTCCAAACATGTGGGATAACCCATGTCGATGTACGTGAAGCAATCAGTGACTTCGCGCCATGTACCAGATTGACGTGGATAGTCGGAGAAGTTTCCATGTACTATGGCGCGGATGAAGCTTGCGCCTTCCCAGGCCTGGATTAGCTGCAGTGATAACGTGATTGAAATCGCGTTCATACCACGCCTCGGCTCGGTTACTTGAGATAAGTGCGCCGATAGCAGCAGGTTGAATTCACTGTTGTTCGCCTTGTGGAAACGGCTATTTAAAGACACTGCCTTTCCATTTCCAAAGAGATTTGTCAAAGAATCAACTTCAGTCTCCCCCTAACAAAGAAACACAATGAGAATTTTCAACGTTCTGCTCCTCGGAGGAGCCTCTTTGATTGTTGCTGCCCCTACCGGTGTTATGAACGAAGAGACACGCGAAGCCAGCATTTCTTTCCTCGAGTCTACGCATTACAAGAAATCCCCCAACGCTGCTGCAGAGCCGGCACCTGCTATTGAGTTCCTTGACTCTGTTCACTACAAGAGGACCCCCGAAGCCGAGGCTGCAGCCGAACCTATAACCGAACCTTTAGAGTCTGTCCACTACAAGCGCTCTCCCAAGGCGGACGCCGAGCCATCAATTTCATTCCTCGAATCAGTCCATTACAAGAAGCAGGCTGAGCCTGCAGCTGAGCCTGCGATCGAATTTTTGGAATCTGTCCACTACTAAGTGACAAGGGACGTGCAGCACCTATTCGCTGTGGGTTAGTCGGATCATGTTTGCTACTAAAGTTCAAGTCAAGGAATCTCAGCTAATTGACCCTAGTATCAAGTTGTGAAGTGCCCCTCGGGCTCTCAGAGTGGGAGCATTAATTAACTGGAAGGATTATCGAGCGACTTTTGTCGACATTCTCTCCAGTCTAGTTGTCTACCTAGTCAATATCACATCAGGTGGGAAGGATTTGTAGACTCGTAGCCAGTGGCAAGGGTAGTATAACTTCCTACTTGCAATATTACGACTGTCCTTAAGTTCTCATCGCGCTCACGATCGTAATGACCTGATTGCGCCTTGGATATTGTAGATTACAATTGGCATTCCAGTGGAAAGTAGCAGCCAGTGGCTACGTAAGCGTCACTATCAGTCAATCGACAGTGGCACACACTTAAAATGATCATACTCTTGATGAACATCTAGGCTGTGGTGCAATTGCAACATAATGTACAGGTGCCTTCAGCAGTGACATTGAAGTAAGCGTTCATAGTTCAGTGATGAAACTCAAATTTGGCACAACACAATGCCCGATCTACACTCTATAGCATCCTCTAGGGCTGAAATTCCTTGTGCGACAAACAGCATTGCACATCCTGGCGTGGAGGTCGAATACAAGGAGGGTTGTGGTTGCAGAGATTCACAATCAAATAACCGTGGTCAGAGCAATAGATTGGACCTGGGCAGCCTTTCCGACTATTATTGTTGCTTGCCGTTTCATCGACCAGATGTGTAGGATTGAAACAAGCGGGATTGTCACATAGGTGTGACACGTGATCATTTGGGTTTCGCTTGTGAAGTTGCGCGTAGGCGACGATGTGAAGTAGGTACGCTCTCGAAGCTTTCCTGCCAGTGAGGCCTTTTTTCGCTTTGGCATTGCTCTTTGTCCATATCTATGGTAGAAGTACGATTAGTGTTTGAAGCTAGAGCAGACTTCTGGGAAGCTGACCTGAGCGTAACCATCTCGGGTGCGACATCCAATTGGAACATGACAACCAAGTTTTGTGTCAACTTCACATCTTTTGGCGCGTCTTTTGGCAATCAATGACTTGGCACGGGCCCAACCAAGGTCGTCCATAATGTTTATACGAGCTCGAGCCATTTTGAACCTGGTACGAGTGAGAGGGATAAAGAAGAGCAGGATATCTACTCCGTCACGAGAGGATACAATATCCTCTTTTAAGGTCGAGTAATCGATGAGCTTTGGCAGTGGAGCAGGAGCATTCGTTACTTAATTTCGCAATCGATTAAATCCACCTCCCGCAACGCCCGCACGCGGGGCCGCCGAATGCATACACCCACCGGGGTTTAATAAAGTAAGGTACCTTAATGATTGACTGAGCCTAGCCCAGTATTGGAATATCTAGACAAGACAGATACTGGGGGGTGGGCGGGTGATGATCTTGGCCCTTCGCACATCGCTTGGGACGTTCTATGAACCAGTAAATGATAATCGCTGTTAAATTGTTAACAGCCTCTGTGACATCGTTTGGTGATGCTCATGCGACTGGCAACAGCGCGGAGACTTGTGATATTGATACTTTATGAGGATTGACAAGACAACGTACCTAAAATAGGTCTTCGCGAGCCCGAACATGGGTAACACCAAAACTCTATGTTATTAATTGGCAATTTGCTTTTTATTGTGATTGTTTGGTAAGCAACTCAATTTTATTCGTCTACAGCGGTCGCTGATGCACAGAGAGGCCTACGAACACTTGCGGTGGTAGTCATGTATGCACTCGCGAACCGCAGCTTCGAAACATCAAAATACGACAGGTTAAGACAATCGATTACTACAATATTGACATATCCTGTATTCTGATGCTCTATGGCATAAAATTCTGCGTTTCATTCCATTGAATGTCGTGGCGACCTGATCAAGGCAAGTTCTGGGGAGCGTAGCTTTGGTCAGGGTTTACCGCCTGGCCGTTCACCAGCTGCTTGTCGGTGTAGGCGGGCCAAACAATAAGCTTCTGGTCCGTGACAGAGAAGGTTGTGAATCCCGCATCCGGACCGAACTGTCCGCTCCAGCCCGATGTAACAGAGAAAGCTCCACATTTGGCGTTTGAGGCAGCGCGGCTTGCAGGTGCGCCGGTAGTTGTGAATTTGCAGGCTGTGGGATCTGCGATGTGGGTGTTGATGTTGAAGCTATAGTCGCAAGAGGTATCCTCAGCATTGCAGGTGCGGGTAAAACCTTCAATGGTCCATTCCGCGACACCCGCGGCCATCATTGACTTGACCTCACGCTTCGAAACGGGTGAGCCGGAGACGGCAGAGGCAGCAGTCAGGGCTGTGAGGAAGAGGTTGGTGATCTGCATTATCGCGAGGTCTTGAGGAAACAATTTGAGTTGTTAATTAAATTGAGAAGGGAGTGATTGTTTGTAACTGTTGGCTTGTATTGGACAACGTGATGTTTTGAGTTGAAATACCGTCCGGAGTGGCGGCGGACGAGCGGATTTATACCAGTCAAGAGTCAAGGTTGTATCACTAGAGGCCATCAAATAAATGAGCACAGATCAATGGTATGACAACAAGCTCGTGGGTACTCAAACGATTGAGAAAGTGACGTTGCCATCGTATTCCCTCTCCCTGCGTCGGTGGACCTTGGACTCTCGCTAAGTTCCCCGTGACTGCCTTCGATCCCCATTTCATGATCCATCATGACAGCAGCTTAGTGCGGATGTGAACCAGCAATGTGTCATAGTCCAGCCAAAAAGTTCCTATGCGGTCATGACAACCTGCCTTCCGGGTCACTTTGATCGCTTAAGGTAATTGCCTATACGCCTCGCGGTTCAGTCGGCTCAAGCCGTCGGTCATACGTGGCTTAGAAGCATACGCATCCGCTGGATGGCCCTTCCTTTAGCTACCATTCGGTGGAATGATGGCTCGCAAGACCACTGCACAATGAATCCTCCAATCCATCGAGGCAAGATTCTCGTATTCAGGGTCGCATGCATTCTCATTTCTGACTTGAATTCCAGGCACATGACGCAGGTTATGTAACCTCGATATTAATACGAGCGCTATCTGCCGGGGCTGATTAACCTAAACAAGGCACGACTCCACGTTCTAATCTGCTTTCGGGCCTCCGATTGCCCCGAGGCTTCATCGCCCCAGAAGCATGCCGCCCCCGCTGATCTACCTTTATTTCGATTGATCATTCCTAGTGCTCCCATACTCCTAAGTTTAGCCACATAGTTCTGACCAACGGTGTGTGATTGATGTTGCCCGTTGGATTCATAATTCTCCACCTGCATTTCACTAAAACACAACACTGAACTACTCAGGACTTCTCCCTGCAGTCATCGACCGCCAAGCTGGAGTGCGGCATGTAGTTGCCAGTACGCCAAACTGATCGACGAAGCCAGTCTTGCAAACAGCGAGCGAAGGCTTTGCTATCTCGTAGGCAGGCAGGTCTCAGTTTCGTTGATCTGCATGAGCTGATGTTGAACTCTCCCTTGCAAGATCCTCGCATCCTGTAGGGGACTGACTGACTGCGACATCGCTCATCTTCAGGTGTGAAGTACTAATGTGTATGAAAATCATAGTCGTCACGCTGTGAGCACATTGTGTGCAGACAGATAGACTCATCAACGTACTTTCACACATGTGACTCAGATGAAATCCAATTCGAACTGTATCGATACATGCAGCAAAATACTTGGATTTCGTAATTTCTGAGCGTCTTGGAACGTGCGTATGCTAATTACATTTGCGAGGATTTCTCGCCGTATTAGAAGGCACCCTGGAAATCCGACCAGGTAGAACGACGACCCCATGTGCTGCTTGCTAAAAAGCGACGAGGAAAGTCAGGAAAACTTTGTTTCGACTAAGACAATGACGATGATGCATTGAACTCGCACGAGTTCTGACTTCCATTTCCAAGGGAGAGATGAAACTCACATGATTAAAACAATATTCGTAGCTGATCGCGGGGACAAATGGGATCGCCAGCGCATAGATAGGACTCAAGTGAATCAGATTTTCCGAACAAAACTAGAATCCCTCAAAGTTCAACTTTGATATTTCACATGGTATGCAGTTATACCCACGTATATATAAGCAGGTCTGCAGTCTTCAAGGCCCACGTTAATCGGTAAATATTCAAGGAAATGCGTAAAACATTGCCTCTCATAAATACCTTAGGCTGATTGAAATATGAGGATTGAGTAAGACCTGCTTTGAGAATTTCAACTATGACTTCTTTATTGCTTTGGGATTAGAGATTCGCTTTGCGTTACTTGATGTACCTACGGTATCGTGGATTCACTTAACAGATGCCGGAAGTCATCCTTCGTAGATTTAAGGTTCCTAGTACTCATTACCTCCTTCTTGAGACTTCGATCCGCAACACGAGTGACGTTAGAAGGAGACAAATCAAGTCGCGACATCACATACCTGGGGACTTCGTTCATCCACGGTCAGGACATGAAAGTCTTGAGTTATGAGTTAGACTTGTTCTTGCGGACGGCACAACATACGCCGTTCTCAGAGACGACGTATCTCATCAAGGCATTAGCACCCACAGCACGTATAGAATTAATCAACGCTTTCTCAATTTGAATCACTAAACTATTCTAGAGACCGACTTTAACTGCCTGCAACCTCGAACCCAACTAATTTCCATCGGAAAGGCACTTCGAGATGTCCGAGTGCATCGGCCTGGCCTTCTTGTCATCACTACTCTTCATCGCTCAGGTCACCATATCATGTGCGGGCAGGGAACTGAGTTCGTCAATGACCGTATTCTTGTACAGCTCGAGTATTCTGAGAAGATTGGGTTATCACGAGGCAAAAACCTGGATGTCATTTATGTTCCACCTATCTTTCCGAGATATCTTGTCTGCGCCCATCATACCACCCAACTCCAGTCTTGATGTCTCAAACGGATGAACGAGAAGCGACAGGCAAATCACTGCACAAGTGCGTGTGTAGGGCAGCAAAGTTTAGACAGACGAACTCAGGCGTTTGAGCAATTTTCTTCCTATTCCCGGACCGCTATCCTCAACAGGTTAAAAGACTGCGATCTCAACACCTCGAGCCTTAGCAGCTTCTTCTATGTCAAATGTATCAGTTCCCTCCCTGGATGCTTCTTCAAGAACCTCGTCAACTATATTTATGAGCCGAAATGAGTCTTTCCTCAAGAACGATGACCGCACATCGTCGAAAACCTGCTTCCACTCTGGATGAGCATTTAGGATGGGGACTTCGAGGCTGCCTATCACTAAAGGATACATGAGCCCGTTGTGAACCAGAAGGTGGTGGTTGGCAGGCATTTCAACTGCCCTGTATAGTGCGTAAACCGATGCCGCCAAACGACACATGACGACTTCTCTTGACGGGAATGATGTCATGTCACCTGAGTGAGGTCCCGGCCGGTTCTCATCATCGGATGATGCCAACTTTCTTCTAGATCGGTATAATCGCCTCACATGTAAGACCGCTGTATACCGCCAGCAGTCCCAAAGCATGCATTGGGCATGCTCACCAATCTCTCCCGGCCAAGTCCAGAGCTGGGATTCTATGTCACTCGCGCTGCTCTCCCTCATATCAGCGAGAATATCTAGCAGCGATCTGGGCAGTCCCGATACGGTCTCTACCCCACCGAGCCTACCGCCTTTCCAAGAATCTTGGACTTTTCGTAGGTGGCGCCAAACATTCATGCTCGGTGTTATTCGACCAATCACCATGATATCCATGTCCATGATAGACAAGACTTCGATGGAGTGCCGGATGGTGAACTCATGGTCGGCTGAGGGCAGCAGATGACTCAAGTTCGTCTCTAAATGGTACAGGCCGGCCATGAGCTGAAGATACATCGTCCAAGGGCGAGCTTGAAGCAGCTACATAAAGGCTGTGAGTTAGTAAGAAATATCAGATTCGAGACGTTTGTACGCGTGAGATATGGGTAGCCGATTCGCATACGGCGATGCTATGCTTTTTCGAGACTTACACATAGACTACAGAGAAGCAGGCCAGCAGAGACGGTGGATCCATCGAAGGAGTTGTGTCGGCTTTCTAATTCCGATCGGAAAGTTTGGAGCGCGTGATCGACGTATTCCATTGACGAGACTGAGAAACCGTCGTCTAGGTATGCTTGGATAGCACCACAGACGATAGCAAATGCTTGGCTTTTCTCCGCCATTGAGACAAAGTGAGATTTCATCCAACCAGAGCTCTCAGTGGTGTAGAGTCGGTGCATCCCCGCGTTGAGAACTTGCGACATGGTCAGTACTCGAATACCTATACGTGACAGAGCCAAGCGGCGAATGACTTACATTTCTGGAAAAGCTGCCGTTTCGGGTCATTGGTGCCGCCGGGCGATGGTGCCAAATATGAGATTTCAGAGTGTGACCCCGGTGTATCTGATTCTTGAGCGGCCCCGGACAGCTTCGGTGTATCGGCCCCGGGAGATGCTGAGGATGATCCAGTGTGGTGTAGTGGATCTTCAGCGTTCGGCAGATAGCTATCAAAAGTAGTTGAGTTGGCGCTCGCTTTGTTCGCAGCAAGGTCAGGGATTGCGGCCCCAGCAAATCGACCCCGCGAGGCTATTCCGTTGGTCCACTTGAGTGTGGTGTTATAGCCCTCGCACTGGATGCCACGCCTTTGGCATGCTCGGCAATCTGGACGCGTCTCGTCGCATTTCCGTTTCCGCCTCTTACAATTGGAGCATCCTCCCCTAGAGCGACCCATCGATAACCTACTGATGGCTGTCGAGTGAGGTCAGCGTAATCGTTATCTGTTCAAGCCTTGCAATTGACTGCTCAGCGGAGTTCTCGAAATGGCCGACCTTGCCGACGATGAATGAAGAATTGAGATTTCAACTTCCCAAGAAAGGCAGACGGGGCCGCGAGCGCATATATATGCCGAATAGGGCATGGTTCAGACGCTCGATTCTGGGGTCCAAGCAATCATGTTGCAGCTTCATAAATGCGGGGGCGAGGCCGCTAAGACAAATAGAGTTCTCTGTTATCCATGCGGAATGCCCTCGGAAAGAAAGGGATGAGGGTCCAGCAGGGACTTGCCAGTACATGGCGTCAAGACCTCGTCAGACTTGCTGGTTAGTGTACACTCACAGGGACTGTAATCAAGTCCCCAGTCCTGTTATCACAACGGCATTGGTCATTCTCGCCATGGTCTTCATCGTCTTCGATTACGACCGGGGCTCTCGAAGATTATCATCCTGATCTAAATGTGGTGCAGGTGCTTCAGTCTCCTATGACTGAAAAGGGTTAACCTGGGCGCGTGGCTTATCGTGGCACACACCAAAATCCCAGCTGTCACACAACTTCGAGTAGTAACCAGGCCGAAATAGAAGTCTCCTGAGAAGGTCAACTTACCTTGGTATTTTATATTAAATGCCCGTTGCCTGCTCGACTCATTGCTGTGTCTGCATCAAATGCGACAATATTCTAGGCTGGTTCCTAAACGCAACAGCACCTCACCACATCTAGCCCATAAGCCCACTATTGTTTGTGTCTCCTTCTGCTCTCGCCTCAACGCTGTGGTAGAGAGTTCCCGATGGACGTCCCAGCAGTGACAATGGCTCAACATACACCCCTTCCTCCGGGAACAGTTCACTTGCTCAATTGTATGCCTCTTACTCGAAGTCTTTGAAGTCCTGTGCTGACGTCTGCGTTCTACCCCAGATGAGGACGCTACAGAGTCCCCAATATTTGTTCTATCCCCAACTCCATCGTCAGACCCGAACGACCCACTGGTACGGATTCTGCTGTTTGTGATGCTCCGGTAATGACATCTTCTTACTCTTTGAATGCGTGAAATAGAACTGGAGCAAATGGAGAAAGTATCTTAACTACAGTCTTGCCATGGGCGTCACCGTGGCCGCTTTCACCAAGTACGTTAGAGCCACATCGGTTTTCCAATCCATCTGTTGCCCTTCGCGGACCAACTCCCCGGCTGACGATTTGTTTGCTTTCCTCCATAGCCTCTCGATCCAAACCGTCTTCTGGCAACAGATGACCGTTGATCTCGATGTGTCTATCAACCAACTCAGCAACGCGCAGTCCGCTCAGCTTGCAGGACTTGCCACAGGCTGCATTTTCTTCATTCCGTTCACAATCAAGTATGGTCGTCGCTTAACGTACTTAGTTTCCACAGCGATTCTTGCTGCAGCAGCGTGGTGGACATCTTCTATGCATTCATACGCAGAACTTATTGCCACAGCTGTAATCACGGGACTAGCTGGCGCTATAAACGAGACCGCGGTGCAAATGACTGTAATACTTATCAAAATCCCCTGGTCTTATCTCGCCTTTTCGCTAATGATTCTTTCCTGCAACAGATTGCCGATATTTTCTTCGTTCACCAGCGAGGTTCTGCCAACGGTCTCTATTTTACTGCCGTAATGGCAGGAAGCTTTTTGACGCCTTTGGCTGCCGGCTCCCAAGCCGTGACTCAGGGATGGCGCTGGTCATACTACGCCCTCTCTATCTCTCTGACAGTTCTCTTCTTCATGTTTGTTTTCTTGTATGAAGAGACCAAATATATTCCCATAAGCCTCGGCGAAAGCGACCTTACAGACGACAACTCACCGATTGGCGGGAATGATATGGCAAAAGTCAGAAGCCTTGATAAAGGCGGTCTGGAGCTGAACTACATGCGGTCCAATCCCGCTACGAATGTCCCACTGAATTCTTACCGAGAACGCATGCGATTATTGACACCAACCTCGGAATCCTTACTGCGAGTTTTCATCTTGCCACTTCATGTCATTACTCTTCCACACGTCATGTTCACTGCTCTTCAGTTTGCATCCGGTGTTTGCTGGCTAGTACTGTTCATGTCGGTTGTATCCGTCGTCTTTTCTGCGCCCCCCTACAATTTCAATACTGCAGCAATCGGATATATGAACCTCGGACCTTTTGTTGGAAACATTTTCGGCAGTATTTACGGCGGACCTTTAGCAGACTGGACTGTTTTGCGCTTGGCTAAGAGGAATGGGGGCGTTTTCGAGCCGGAAATGCGACTGTATCCCTTATTTCTACCCGTGATCACGATGGCTGGTGGTATTGTCATGTTTGGAGTCACCGCGGATCGAGTAAGTCACCTTTGCGCCACATGTCTTCTTTTGCTCCATCGACTGGTTAAACTAACAGCTCTAGGGAATGCATTGGATCTTCCCTAGCATCGGCGGCGCACTATTCGCATTTGGCCTTGGTGCAAATGGAGACATCACCTTTACATTTGTTATTGATACTTATCGAGAGGTGAATGCATCAATATTCGATACAATGACTTTGACTAACATATGGTTCCACAGCTGACTGCCGAAGCCTTTGTTGGTGTCGCGTTTGTCCGTAATGCTGTCAGCGTAGGTGTCCCTTCGGCGCTTGTGCCCTGGATGTCAAACATGGGCCTTACCAATATGTACATTCTGAGTGGGGTTATCTCTCTTCTCATCGGTCTTTTGTATGTTCCTATGATCATCTGGGGCAAGCGCATTCGCACCATTCTGGCTCCCCGATACTTGCGACTTGTGGAGAGGCGCATGCAGATTTAGTGTGCTGAGTACGTGTATCTTATTTTGCCAGCCTGACCAGAGGTTTGCTTGTATGTAAGAACTTTGGCACCACTCCCGAGTATGGCAAGAATTCAGATTCCGTCTTTCTAGTATTTACAGAATACTTCTGCGTTTTAAATTGTTCAACTTGGCTGGGCTCGTCGTGGTTGACCTGGTGTCTCACTACATTTACACATGCGGCTATGAGATATGTCGAAGTCTTTGTCTGTTTGCTGGATACCTACATCTAGTGGCCAGATCTACAATTCTGCACACTATCCAGGTCAAAGCTTTTCTGCCGCTACGCCAGGGAAGTTTGTGAGTCGATAGCAGTCGATGATAGGGCGCCCCTCAAACATGGTCATTACCCCGAGTGCTACCACAGCGTTCATCCAGTCGTAAGGGCTTCCCCCTGGTGCTTCAAACCTAATGTGCGTGAAATACTCAACGTCATCCTGACTGATTGAAGATCGAGGCGATTTGTCTGTTCGACCAGGGCCAGTGCGGAAAACACCCTGGGCGTTGACGAGGATGAAGACACCATCATCAGTCTGGAGAGTATACATGGCATGCAACCTTGAGAACGCCTAGAGAGCGGTAAGCCGTATGAACTTCCCTTCATGGGTGACTTGTTTACACCGTGCTAACCTTGTCAGGCCTAATGCGCTCGGCCCAATCTGCACCACTTCTCTCCACAATCTTGCCTGTGATCCTAGGGCCTTTGACTGACCCGCTCAAGATAGGCAGAACAAGACGAGTGACGCCCGTGTTATCAACGTTTGCAATTTCGGACACGTTGGGGTCCATATCGCAGACGATACGATAGATGAAGTCCAGATGTGGCATGCGCATGGGTGGCACAGCGACTCCACTTGGCGAGAAGGCGTTTCCGGGGGAGGGGGCATGATCGGAGCTTCTCGCGGGTGCCATGACTAGGATGTAAGTTGAGCGCGGGTCGACCTGCCGAATGTATCCTGGATCGAAGTAAGTAGATGGAGAGTCGAACTGTGAATGGCTTTTGGTATTGGCACGACGTGCTGGGACATGTGCCGAATGCTCGAGGCGGAGTTTTAAATAGTTCTTCACAATCAATGTATTCGCAGGCTGATAAGAGGGGGTTTGTTACGCAATTGTTGCAGAGTCGAAAGAGCTGTCACCCATCCATCTCCCGAGCGCAGATGCCGACTCCTCAGAATTATAAGCCTAAGTACGCATCAGTCTTTTCACTCCCGGCAGCCGACGGCATCGGCAACTCTGCCAGCCAAGATCTGGCGGCATCTCCTTCCCTATTGGGCCATTGGACGCGCCAACAAGCCGCCCGGGATGCGTGCCATCGTCCGCAATTCCGGCGACGTTTCTAGCATCAAGGTGCATTGGGGTTGAAAAGAAGACAACACAGTCCAGTTTTCTCCTCTGTCTCTTGCCCTCGGTCTACTCGACTATCGCATCCAAATCAAAACAATAGCGCATGCAACCTATGAAACTTCTTTCTTCCACGATACCTTCTGAACCTATAAGGCGTAGTATCAATGCCCGCGGCAATGGAATGGGAAGCGATTGCTTCTCGTCACCGGTTGGAGCAACAGCGGAACATACCTCAGGAATGGAGAATCTCTGATGATCAGCTAGCCAAGCTTCGAGGCAAGGGAACTGCCGAAGAAGGTCGACTAATAGCCCAAGATGTTGCTCGGAAATCAGCGTTATTGACGGGAAAGGAACTCGACATCACAGAGTGCTACAACGCGCGAGAGTTGCTCGACAAGATTCATCACAAGAAACTCACATCGGAAGAAGTGGCAGTGGCGTTTTGCAAGCGCGCTGCTCTCGCTCAACAGCTCGTAAGGACATTTCCATCCCGCTCCGTCACCGTAGGTTGTGGCCGAGCTCCCGAACGCCGAATCACATGTACTGACATCTTCTAGACTTCTTGCTTAACTGAAATATTCTTCGATGAAGGAATCAAGAGGGCTCGAGAACTTGACCAGCACCTAGAGCGTACTGGAGAGCTCGTAGGGCCACTGCACGGCCTACCAATTAGCCTCAAGGTATCCCCATCCGGAAAACTTGTCCGCCTGTTCGGCCTGTAGAACTGATGAATTTAGGATTCTTTCGTCGTTAGAGGTCATTACGCTACTGTCGGTTATGTCGAGTTTTTGAAAAGGCCACTGCCTACTTCTAACTCGGCGATGGTCGATCTCCTAGTGGACGCTGGAGCCGTCCTATTCTGTAAAACGAACGTTCCGCAGACCATGATGGTTCGTGACCTGCTGATCTGCATCGATCAAAAGTTTTGGTCGAGTGTATATTGACGAGAGTTAAATAGACTGCCGACTCGGAGAACAACATTTTCGGTCGAACTTTGAATCCACACAAGACGATTCTTACCGCCGGCGGTTCAACCGGTGGTGAGGGAGCTCTTGTAGCATTCAGAGGCTCAGTATTGGGCGTTGGCTCCGATATTGCAGGATCAATCCGGATCCCCTCACTTTGTTGCGGCATTTATGGCTTCAAGCCCACAGCGGATCGAACGCCGTTTGGAGGGCAAGCTAACTATCCCTTCCGCAAACTCCAGCTTCCTGGAGTCACCCCTGTCGCTGGGCCGATGGCAAATTCAGTTGATGATCTCAGTTTGTTTATGGAAACAGTGATCGGTCGTCGGCCTTGGCATTATGACGCATCTGCAGTCAACGCCCCCTGGAGAAGCTCCTATGGAAGCAACAAGACCCTGACCATCGGTATCCTTCCCGAAGATCCGGAATATCCCTTGCAGCCGCCTGTTCGACGAGCGCTTCAAGACGCAGTCTCAAAATTGACTGGCGCAGGGCACAGTATCGTCAAATTACCAGCAAACCCCGCTTGCAGTGCCAGTGTTGGTGGAAAGCTGGGATTCCATTACTTCGGGCTAGGATCTTCCGGTCTGGATGCCCTGGCGAGTGAGATTGGTGAACCACTGGTACATTCAGTGAAACGAGGCGTTCATCCTTTCACAACTTCAAAGCCTCTAATTTCAACGGAGCTGGACACAGTACACCAACTGGATGAGTTCCTTGGCTTACAGGCTTCTTATGCCAACAGCTGGAAGAACATTTGGACCGAGTATCACCTCGATGTTGTCGTCGGCCCCGGAGCAATCAGCACCGCGGTCCCCCACGATACCTATGGCATCCCTGTCTACACCTTGATGTGGAATGTGTTAGACGTAAGCCAGTGCAATCACCTCTCTGCAGCCAACAATTCAACTAACTGTGGGGGGGCAGTATCCAGCAGGGATAATACCATATGGGGTATCCTCCAAGACGAGAGATCCCAACTACCAGAAAGCGGCCTCAAATTTTGAAGCGGACTGTAAGTACTGTGCGTTCTAATTCTGCTGTTCTTCTCGTGCTTGGTGCTAAACCGAACACAGATGATCCAGAAGCAACCGACGGCGCCCCGTGTTCGCTTCAAGTCATTGCTCCTCGATTTTATGATGAAGAGTGTTTAAACGCCATGAGAATCATTGACAAAGACATACAAGCATGAAAGTGAGCGATGAATGTGCGGGATACTTGTATTTTTTCTGTAGAGACACGAAATATCAAATTCTTTCTCAAGTGCTTTTTGATAATCCAAGAGTTTCCTCGGCGGCAGTGTCACCACCACCACCGCAGCCAATAGCATGGCGCTGACGGAATTTTTCTAGCCATTCGGGATTGTCTGCAACAGTCTGATTCCATTCGTCGTCGCAGTCGTAAATCACACGCCTCGACTCTTGTCTAAGCATTTCGTCTGTGATGTCGAACCCTTGAGAGAGGTGCTCCTTTACACAATGCCTCAAATGTTGCTCCAGGATCTCTGTGAAAGCTTTTGACGTTGCTGCCCTGGATCTGAGGATTGATTCTGACAGTAAAGACGTCGCAGTATCTATTGCAGCGGTCTTCTTTCCATTTTCTTGTTGTGACTCAAGTGTACGAGACGATATCTGAGCAAAATGGTCTCTGGTGCTCTGATTCGTGACTGAGAATGGGACAACACTCAGCGACTCTGAACCTATGAGGTAGGGAGGCAGGGCATGCGCGACCTGCTGCGCAATTGTTGGACTGAATCCGTGTTCTCCCTTCCAGTCTTTCATCATTGCACCATGGCGAAAGTGGTTGGCGAGATGGTCAACGAGTTTGTTCCAGGTCATGAACTCCACGTCACAGAACCCGCATCGAGAAGAGATCCGCACAGCTTCAGCCTTCCATCCATCGAATCGAGGCATTATGTCTAGTTTGTGCATAATGCGGAGGTGTTGAACAAGATGGTCTTTCCTTCCAAATGATCGTGCTTCTATCGGTCGGTCGTAGCATGCTTTATGGTTGTGACCATCAAGATGTTCTTCTGACGGGTCTACCTCGCTGCAGTACGCACAATGAGGTCTGCCAGTCACTGTAGACATGACCGAACCTCCCCGCGGTGCGCAAATCCACGACTCCAGGTTAAGGTGCCTCGATTTCTCGTGCCGAGCCCAATCATACTTAGTCTTGAAGCTATCGCAGCAGAATGTGCATTTGAAGGGGCGATCGTCTTTCTTGGAAGCGGCGGCTGCGCGTTTCTTAGACACTCTTCCCCGCCTGGTGCGATCAAGTAAACTTGATTCGTTCTGTCGACCTCTTGACGTGTCTGATGCTGCTGACCACACTGAGTTTGCCGACTGTATAGATGAACTGCTCTCGCCACTGCCCAAGCTGGCTTTGGATTCAGTGCGGGCATAATCAGCAACATTCGGTGTTCGACTGACGTCGAGGCGAGCAGTACTATTCTCCAGCGCGTCATGTATGGCAGTGATGGAGGCTGGTTCATCTTGCGGGGGAGACTTCCTCCCCCGCTGCATAGGACTCAATTCCCCAACGCTTGTAGATACAGGAATTGGTACTGGATTGGCCTGCTTCTCGGAATGCACAAATCGATAACGACTCCGTCTTCTTGGGAGGCCTTTATTGGTGTTGAACACAGTTTGGCCAACAAGCTCATCATTGGAGGGGATCGGCCAGTTAATGTGGTTTGACGTCGTAGCCGGAGACTGCAGAGATCACGAAATATCGCCAAGCGCATAACTCGGATCCACCGCCTCACTGCTTCCATCATATATTCAGGATATCGGTGTCTCTTGGGGATCGCTATCAGCCGTGGAAAACATCGAAGGCCAAATCTGGCCAGAGGTGCCAGTCGGGAGGTTATCATCCAGCGGAGCGCATCCGGGGTCCAGATCCGACCCTGCAGTCAGAAAGAGCGGCCCGAAAGCTCCGCCTGTCGCGGGTTGACTTCTTGCGAGTCTGTCCAGCGCATTGGGCTGAGGGTGATTCAAGGTTACTTGCTCTGTGGCAGCATTCATAGCTTGTGCGGATATAAGGCCTCCCTGATATGTCAAAGCGACTTCACCGTCCTGGCCACCGGTGACTTGGGGCATGAGTCTGGGGTGAGTCCCATTGGGCAATGAGCGTGGGGAGTTCGGCATGCTATCGACATGGCATGACGTGCAAGGGGAGGAAAGATGGCATGCACAGTCATGTCAAAAATTCTCCATTTGCCCTGCTTACCTGAGTGAGAGCCCCTTACGCGTGGAGATTGATAAGCGCAAAATCTATGGACTTCACGCCCTAGGGCGCCAAAAGTTACGGCTGGCACCTATGAAGAGACATGTGACACTCGCAGGTGGACACAGCGTAAACCTTGGCTTGATGTTTGAGTCAAGAGCCCCTAACGTTCTGCTCAGTTGTTAAGTAACAATACTGGCTAGTATGATACTGGCCGTTGTGGAAGCCTCTTGATGACAGGTACTGGAATGTGTATCAGGGGCCAAAACCACAGGTGCGGTTTCTTCCAGTACATGTTGCAAGAGTATTGAAACCTTACTCATTGGAATACCTTCTCGCGATCCTTGAATGTTGATTGCTCGGACCATTAAC